ATCGCTACGCTACGCCATCCGTGAGACGAAACCCGACATATTTGGTATCGTTGGACTCGGCAACGATTCAGGACCTCAAAAATATGACTCCCGTGAAAATAAGTGTACCACACCCAAAGTTATAAGCGTTTGAATAAAACAATTCACCACTAGGTGGCGCTGTTTCGAAACTTCTCAGGCTCCTTCAGGGCATCGTACTGATGACCCATACCGAGTTTCGTAACAATTCGTTCATGCGTTCAAAAAATACAGCATTTTAGCACATAATTCAAAATGGCCGACAGCCAAAATGGCCGATCTGGGAAAATTGGATATCGGTCGACTCGGCATGACGCCCTGAATCTAACGAGACCAAGTTTTTGATTTTTGGAGAAACCGTTCAGAAGTTACGAGCAAAAATAGCCATTTTTCATATCTCCGGACCACTAGGTGGCGCTGCGCCGAAACGCAGCACGTAGCCTCAGGTCATGCTTGTGATAACACGTACCAAGTTTGGTGTGAAAACGAGTAAGCGTTGCGGAGATACAACCTCACGTCTGTTTTCGCAAGCGCTACGTAAATTTTGTTTACGCGTTTATCGAAAACGGTTATTCGAATCATCTTGAATTCCATAACTTTTTGTCAGCACTGCCTGGAGATGATCCGGTGCGATTTTGGTGAAAATCGGACAAACCGTCTAGGACGAGTTCGCAAAAGTAGGTTTTTTGGAAAATTCAAAATGGCGGCCGTTTTTTTATGACGGAAAATGACGTCATAGGGTGCGATCGAATCGGCATGAGCTCAGGAACAAGAGGAAAAAAGAATTTTGTTGATAGGCCTTACGGTTCAAAAGTTATTAGCATAATAAAAGTGAAACTTTGGACAGTTGGTGGCGCTAGAGGAATGAGTTAGAGACACCAAAATTGGTGTATTTAAAGTTGGGACTGTCCTCTATCAGAATGTCAACCAAAACAACTTTCCCGCAAACCGGTCTATGGGCTGCCATAAGACGCCCAGTCGGAAGAAGAATAATAATAATAAATATAGCTGCAAGCAGCCATTTACCGGGGCCAAGCGCCAAAAAAGCGGCAACATATGCCAAAATGGCAAGGAGTGGCAGGACCAACTGCAGCAAGGAGCAATTAAGGGCATTTTGAGAGAACTTTGGGCAAATGGCTAAGAAAATCACATAAACATTAACTTATAAGATGATTTAATGGGTTATCACTTTCGAACAATAGGTGGCGCAGTTACGAAATAGATGTGATGTGGTCAGAGTGAGGTGACAATGACACATGCAAAGTTTGGTGTCAAAAATGTGAAGGCATTGCAGAGATAAAGCCTAAATAGTAATTTTGGCAGCATGCCTAAACTTTGATGCTTGTGGTATACGAAAACGGTTTTGTCTATCATCGTGCAATTCATAACTTTTAGTCGGCACGGTCTGGAGATGATACGATTCAATTTTCGTGAAAATCGGACAAACGGTCTAGGAGGAGTTCGAAAAAGAAGGTTTTTCAAAGAAATAAAGATGGCGGACAGGAAGTTTGTCTGATTATGGAAAAACCTGATATCTATGTTTTCGGCATAACCCAAGGAATCTATTAAGATCAGTTTCATTGCAATAGGCAAATTTATTCAAAAGTTATTAGCGTTCTCAGAAATTAATTATAACTTTTTGACCAACAGGTGGCGCTGTCTCAAAATCTTTTGAGTTACCTTCAGGGCATTGCTGCTTATGGCCACACACTGAGTTTTGTAATATTACACATGCATTTGTTTAGTATAGCATTTTATTTCACAAAACTCTATTGAAGTCAATGGAATTTTCACGTTTTGTTCTATTATAGCGCCACCAAGAGCTCCAGTCCCACAATTTTTTTTATGTTCCTCAGAGTGAC